CCTCAAGCAAAAATCTCCCCAGACTAAACCCCCACCTCCCAAAGCCACCCAGCCACAACAGTGTGAATTCCTCAGGGAGGTGCCAGTCTCATCCTCTTGTTCCTCCCATGCTGTTCTGGCGCGCTAAGAAAATGTTTCTCTCTCTGAGCCTGGCCTTCATAATTCCATTCCATCACAGATGTCCATGAGAAGGGCAGTCTCCTCTGCCCATGTTCCCCAGTAGCTGGTGCCAGTTTAATTGTGGAGGTAGGCAGAGATACTCTACACCCCCATTGGCAGCCTCTTCCCCCAGCCAAGTAACCATACTGGTGGCTCCACCACACCTAGTCACAGTAGGTTAAGCAAAGGAACGTTGTAGGCTAACCCTTGAAAGAAGTAGCACATTTATGCATTTATTACATTTCTGCCCCACTTTCCTTCAGGAGCTGAAGGCAACTCCCTTCTCCTATTTTGCTCTACAGCTACCCCTGGGAGTTAGATTGGGCTGAGAGAGAGGGACTGTTCCAAAATCACCCAGGGAACGTCCAAGGCTGAGGGTGGACTAGAACCTGGATCTTCTAATTACACCTCCACCACTACATCACACTGGCTATCCTGCTGCTGGACTGGAGCAGCCCTACCAAGAGCTAAACTTGTTTCTTGATTAACCACAACAATCTACCCATTGGCAGCACGATTCCAGGAGTGCTTAAGGTCTTGCTACTCCACCATTTACACTGATGGAAGCCATCGTGCCACCTTTGAATCAGTTTGACCACTGAATGGAAGCGTATGGCAGCTTCTTACCTTCCAGAGCAAAATGGCACCCATGACTGAAATCTCCTTTGCCACCCTCAACCCGGGGCTGTTCACCATCATCATCATCCACAGGATAGTCAAGCATGTGGTTCTGGAAGGCCAAGAATGGAGAGAAGGGACTTACAGGAACCTATTTATATTTATATGGCGACCCATCTCAAATTCATGAGTCTGGGTGGCTTTCACAGCAGTTGGAATCACCATATAACACCATATAACAGTAAAAATAATACATACAAGATCAGCAGCCAAGGTAAAGACAAAAACACCAAACCAAACAACAAACAAATCAGCATAACCACTGCATGGGCTGTATCACACATCCCCAAGCTTGGTGGCAAAACCATGTTTTAAGGCCTTGCAAAAGGCCAGCAGAATTGGGACCAATCTTATCTCTGGGGGAACGATGTTCCCAAGGGTGGATGCCAAAACAGAAAAGGCTCTTTCTGGGCCTTGCCAGATGGTGTTCCCTAATAGATGGGACCCATAGCACGCCTTTTCTGCTGGACATGATGGGACAGGTAGATATAATTGAGGACAGGTGGTCTATAATAACCCGGCCATATACTTTGAAGAACTTTATACATAATTACCAGCACCTAGAATTGATATAAAGAGGTAACCAACCCTGCACTCACTCGTACTGATGATGTTACCTAGTTGGGTTCTGAAAGGTCTCCAAGCAAACAACCGAGCTCAGAGAGCACCAAGAATTCCAACTAGCGTTAACCCCGGAAGTGTACTGGCAAACACTGCTTGTGGAGCAGAGGTGCCATGTGCTCTGATCGAGAAGCGCACATAACTGCCCGTGCTGCTACATTCTGTACCAGCTGCACCAGCTGTCCACTTCTAGTTTGCTCAGCTTTTATGACCGCATTCTGTCTAGTTCCACAGAAAAGGAACCCTAGACCAGGTTACTGTGAAGCAGAAGCAACCAAAAGAAAACAGAAGGAGCTTTTTTGGTTTGCTGATCCTACTTCCTGTTCTCAGAAATGTCCTGGAATCAAGATGGCAGGAAGTTGTGGTAAACCTCACTAGTGTCATCACAGCAAAACTTATGTGTTACCAGGGATTTGCTTCAGATGCTGTGTTCTTGCCCCAGACAGAATATCTGGAAAAGTGGGCATACCTTCTTCTCCTTGTATTTAAGAAAATATTTGTTAGGAATAACTTTTCAGAGCATTTGCACGCCTCCATCCACAAAAGCTCATTCCTGTAGTTGCCTTGAGCCCACGGCATTCCTGCAAAAGTTGCCACTGTATTGTGATTTTTATGTGGGGGGAGAAGAAGATTACTCCCCATCTTTTTAGCAACTACATTGCCTGCATTTAATTAATTAAATATGTCTTTAATTACATTCGATCCAAATTTAGTTTTTGGTCTTCCTCTGCTTGCCCCTGGGCATGGCCGTTGAAGGCTGATGTGGGAGTCACAGGAGAGAGGAGGGACCCTCAGCAAACCCACTTGCCTCCCTGTACAAGATGGAAGAATTAAAACCCAAAATACATATTGCTTTTTCCAGTGGCTACTTCCGGGAGATGATCCGGAGTGACATCCGGAGGGCTCGTGAAATGTACCAGGGGGAACAACTGAGCCGTGAGCTGACCAGCATTCAGCAGCGCCTGGACAGCGTGGAGTGCCTGAGCCTTGATATTGTCATGAACTTCCTTCTCTCCTACCGTGATGCTCAGGTGAGCTCATCTCTTGACGCTCTTTGGGCTTCACGTCCTGATGGGTAACTGAAAACAAGTAGGATTGGTGGCAACAACACCATGACAGCAATCCTTTCTCAACTATTTTGTTCTTCCATTGGGTACCTATCTTACCTTTCTACTGTGCAGGTTGTTGTACTCCCAAACACAGCAGCTCTTTGTGGCTGTGTTTTCATTTGCTTCTGTGTTTCATGACTGACATCAGAAACGTAGTGAGGCCTTATATGGGAACTGGATTCAAGCGTCATGTTGACCCATAGCTTCCTTAACTGTGCCAAAGCTTGTCAAGTGCCATGTAGTTGGCAGGACCAAGGAAGCAAGACTTACACAGATTTCAGGAAAGTCTCTTTAATGCTCACCTGGGTAAACGCAGAATTCCCTAACCTTATTTATAGGGAGTTTGTTAAGGCAGAGTCTCTTTGAAATGCTTTGTGCTAGATGTCACTCAACCTGGGCTGACTTGCTGTTTATAAAATAATCTGTCAAAAGCAGAAACCTCCTGCTTTCTCATCCTCCACACAATTGCTCACAAAGCCCCCCAAACCATAAGGGTTAACATGTTATGGGGCCCAGACTCTTACCTGGCAGTGATTTTAGTTGCTGGTCAGGGAGGATTTTGTTCAGTGGTAAAGGTCAAACTATTTTTGTTCTTGCTGTTAAAGTTCCTGGGGACCAGGTGTTAGCAACAGAGGACCTGTGAGTACCCAACAGTCCTAGACACTGTCTGTCAATTCCAATGGATAAATTATCTTTCAAAATCCTTCTCAAAACTTCAAGATGTGTAGACTTCAGCTCCCAGAATTCCCCAGCCAGCATTGCTAACCACCCTCCCCATCCCCGGTATAACCTAATGGGAAAGTTAATGGGAAGCAGACCTTAAATATAAGTTTTATTGACAGGACCAAGGATTGAATAGGTCTTCTATATATGAAATGGCTGATACACCATATGGACCTCATTGCATTTCTGAGCTTGGTTGGCTTCACATTAAGGACTCAATAAAATGTGACTTGGGTAGACCTGGTTTTGTGTTTAGTTCCAGGCTTTTTAAACTTTGAGATTCCAGATGTTGTTAGTCTACAATATTTGTCATCCTGCATCATCATGGACAATGGTCACTTGGTGTCATCTTCTGTAGGACTGTGATGCTATCATCACTCTGGTGGAGACTCTCCAAGACCTGCCAACCTGCAGTGTGGCTGAGCAGCACAACATCTGTTTCCACTATGCCTTTGCTCTTGACAGGTGAGACTTTTCCGTGAATAAAGACAGATCTCCTGTTTTAATCATCTTGATGCCCATGGGCACTGGATCTCTGTTGGGCAACCAGAATTCCTTTACACAGCTGTGGAGACAGGAGTAATGTGATGGAAGGAAAGCACAGTTCTACAATGTTTTTAGAACACAAACTGGGCTGTTGCTGTAGATTCCTCTTGGGAAGAGGCTCCAGGGGATCTCAGAAGCTCCTGTACTTCAAAATTTCCCCCTGCCAATTAACTTTATTCAAAGCAGGAATAACCAGGTGGATGGATATTTTCCCTAGTGGTTTACATAATAATAAAAACCAATCCGTTCCTTTCCTCATTCTTATAAACCACAAAAAACATGACCACCAAATTTTATTATACAGTAGCCAGACTGGAAAAGAACAAGCCAAATGGTAAAAGAGCTCTCTGACTTTTGGCCACTGTTGAGAGGTACATCTGTGGGAGAGAAAATCCCCACAGATGTTGGAGACAAGAGACTCATCTACAAAACAACCCTATCCCATCGTGTAGTAAGCACAGGGTATGTTTTCTGCTGTGCCTATATTCTTCTCTGTTAGTGAACCTGTTCTCTGTCAGCGTTACGTACTTGAGCACATGATATATCTGCAGGCGGAACCGACCTGGGGACCGTGAGAAAGCTCTCTCCGTTCTCCTGCCTCTGGTGGAGAAGGCGGAAGGGGTGGCACCTGACCTGTATTGTATGTGTGGCCGCATCTACAAAGACATGTTCATCGACTCTGGGTTCACGGATACTGAGAAGAGAGACAAGGCCTTCTTTTGGTGAGGAATAGAAAGGAATCCTCTGGGCTCACCTGGATTCCCAAATCAATCTAAATATGGCTGAAGGCCTGCAGCATTTTGGTGTCAGTCTTAACAACAGGCAAGGTGAACCACTTATCTCAGATCATAGTCTAACCCTCCACGGGCATTTATTAGAAGAATTCCCTTGTGTTTGCTTCTCTTGGAGGGCAAGCAGACCTACATCTCCTCGGAGATGGAAAGGTCCAAACTCCTTTGCCAGGGTTGCAGTTAGATATACAGAAAGCCAGTATATGAAAGAAGGAGTGCCATCTTGCCCTTAACTTTGGGCAGGAAACCATGTTCATCCAGCACTTTATTGGATTCACTGCTGAATTGTTGGGTGAGGGGTCAAACATTTGGCAGTTGACAGATACACTCAATATTTTTGGGAGGGGTAAGGGCTGCAGCAGTGGGGCCAGGAAAGGCAGGGGTTGCCCCTTGGTGAGTTGCCTGCAAACCTGTTTGTCAGCCAACCAAGATAGCTGAGCTTCTTGCTAATCATTCTGGTCAATGGAGAAGTCCTTTGGCAACTGTTTATTCTGGAGAAGTGGAGAAGTTCCTTGGCAACTCCCAGAAGTTCCTTGGCAACTCCCATGCTGGCTGGGGAATTCTGGGAGTTGAAGTCCACATATCTTAAAGTTGCCAAGTTTGAGAAACACTGATTTACGTGGATATTATACCCTCTTACCTTCACTTTTACAACCCCAATAAAAGCTCCCAGACTTAATTTTCTTTGCTTATGTGAGTATTGTGCACCTTTCCCTAGCAGCACGTCACGGGTGATATTGATTTGAAGCTTTGAAACACATGGTCCTCAGCAGCTCATGAAAGCTGTAACTGACAGTCAGATGAGTCTTGGGGGCAATCAGGGGAAAAAATAAGGATTTTTGAGGCAAACTGGAAACAGAAAGATGGGTTGGTGTCTGCACTGTGTTCCCATAAGTGAAACAGTTATTCCTTTAAGGGGGATTCTGGGAGCTGAAGTCCACACATCTTAAGTTTGCCAAGCTTGAGAAACACTGATGTGAATCCATTCAAGGAAGCCAAAACCAAGAATGATATGTAGTAAAATTCTGAAAAGATTTTGATCCTTATGCTTTTAATTCTGCAGGTACCATAAGGCCTTTCTGACAGAGCCAAGTCTTCATGCTGGAATTAATTCTGTTGTGTTCCTCATCGCTGCAGGCCATAGTTTTGAAACCTCAATGCAGCTTCGGCAGATTGGTGTGAGATTGTTCTCTTTTGTAACTTACTGAATAAACTTGGGTATAGAGTTTTGTGAGGCTTGACAGAGAGGTCACCATGTTAATAGTTTGTGGCAAAAACAATGGCGACTGAACAATGTTTATTGGAGCATAAGCTTTCATGGATGATTTTTTATGGATTTCTTTATGTGCAATACAGGTAGTCATTGGTTAACATCTGTCCTGTTTAGCAACCATTCGAACTTATAATGGCACTGAAAAAGTAATTTTATGACCAGTCCTCGCACTTATGACCATCACAGTGTCCCCATGATTGTGATTTGGGCACTTCGCAACCAGCACACATTTATGACGGTCGCAGCATCCCGCAGTCACATGATTGACATTTGCCAGTTTCACAGCCAGCTTCCAATAAGCAAAGTCAATGGAGAAACTGGCAGTAAGTCGCAGGTCACAATCACATGATGTCACATTTAATGACCATGGGTGATTCGCTTAACGACTGCAGTGGAACTGACATCATTAATCTGCCATGGTCATATGATATTTCACTTAATGACTGCGTCGCTCAGCAATGGAGTTGCTGGTCCCAATTGCAGTCGTTAAGTGATGACTACCTGTATTTCTTTCATTATTCAGTTCATATCCTGCCTTCCTTCCCAGTGGACACTCCAAGTGGTTAATGTAATCTACAACAGGGAGATCCATAGGAAGTGGTCAAAAAAGTCAAGATGACGGCCATGTCTACACAATCAAATCCCAGCTCCTTTTTATTCGTGACATTGAAAAAGGGGGTGGAGGTTCGTTTGCATGGTCACTTCTGCCATCTTGACTTTTTGACATCCCCTCCCTCGTGGACATCCCTGATCTAAAATTAAATTTAAGGAATTAAAACCTGAATAAAAACAATTAAAACAGTAGCTGGTCTTAAAAGGCCTGGCTGAATATTATATTGCAAAGTTCCATGAAGTCTGATTGTATAATAAAATGGTTGGTCCTGGAGTGCTACAGAATGGCAAGTTTTTTAGCAATGCAGTTCTTCTTGATTGATCATTTTAGCCTAATACCCTTAAGCAGGGATGTCCAAAACTCGGTGATTCAGAAACGGAACAACCTGGAGAACTCACACTGCTTCAGGCCAGGTTAGCGATTAACGCAAAGAGATCCACTGAACCAGAAGTGGGTTCTAAGCATTCCAGACATGTTTATTCTGAATCAGTGAGTTTTGCACATCCCTAATGTTAAGAATCCGGCTGCATCAAATGCAGTATTACACCTGGGAAATCACATGAGTATGCATTTGAACAAAAATCCAGCTGTGAATCCAGTACAGTTATATTGTTTAGCCCCGTGTTTCTCAACCTTCGATTCTGTGAGTCGAAGTCCACCCATCTTAAAGTTGACAAGCTTGAGAAACACTGATTTAGCCCAAAGGCTGGAACCAAACTGAGGATTTTCTGAGAAATTCCTAACCTTCCCCATGAAATAACCTTCCTGCCTCTTTCTCCTGGCAGGGATGAAGGTGAGCTGTGTTTTGGGGCGGAAGGGGAGTTTGGAAAAAATGCAGCACTACTGGGATATAGGCTTTTACCTGGGCGCTAGCATCTTAACCGGGGACTTTGACAAAATCATCCAGGCCTCGGAGAAGCTGTACAAGCTCAGTGCTCCTGTGTGGTATGTAGTGGTGGCTTTGCATCTTCTGGGGGTGGGGGACAGGGACTTTGCACTTGCTAATACCATGAGGTGACCAGGAGAAAAGAGTCAGTGGGTGCAGGGACAGGCATGGCTCTGAAATCAGTAAGCATAACCTACTTTCATTTTCTGAAGAGCGAAAATCTTGTAGTAAACATTGAGGGCATATCAGGCACTTCAGATGCTCCACTAAACCATTACATGGTTGGCTTCAGTTTCGTTTATTGTGTTGTGTGATGAACATAAGTTTTGTGGCTCATTCAAAACAAATGGGGTTAAAACCAATTGCGGCATAGTGGGAAGTGTGATCTGAGCCACTGAATAAGTTATTTGCCTTATTCATGAAAAATAGGATTCAATCAGAAGGTAGACTGGTCCCTAGGTACAATTTGGGGATTGTTTTTCCATGTAAGCCACATCTGGAATGGATTTTTTGAATTGGAGAACTGGACTAACTTTTTTCCTACCTTTGCTGCTATATAGCCTGGTCTGTTAAGTTCTTGATATTAACTCCATCTTTGTAGTCTTAGAGAAAAATTGGGTTTCTTGAATCCTAATGGCTGGATCCACACAACGTAATAAATGGTAAACCTATGTCAACAAAGCACATTTGCTGGGTTCACATAATTAATGTGGCTTAATGTAATGGCCCGGTTTATGCGACACGCTTCCAACAATGGTTGAGTTCCCATAACAGGTCATGCCTGTTCCCCTATGTCCTTTGGTGCAACACTCTTATACAATTGGCAGGAACAAATGCATTGATTTTTTCCCCCTTTGGGAAAAATAATTCAAAAATTATTTCTGGCAAGAGTTTGAAAATAGTAGAAAAGAGAAACCCACAGTTTGGTATAGAACAATTTTTTTTTTTACCTTGGAAGGGCTGCTGTTGCTTTGGACTTGAAACCTTGAGTTTAGTGTATGAGAGTGAATGTTTGAAGGGTGAACTGCTCTGTTTTTCTTGGTATATGCAAGTGAATGAATGAATTAATTAATTAATTAATGTTGGCCCTTTTCGAGTTTGGTATGAGAGTGATTGTTGGAAAGGTGAACTGCTCTATTGTTCTGGATATTTGCTAATAAATAAATCAATGTCTGTCGGCCCTTTTCTTTTCTCCACTTCTTATCACCCCCTTTCTCTACAATCGATGCAGGTACTTGACTTCTATCAAGGAGACATACACAATCTATAATCATTTCAACCAAGTCCCCGACATATGGTCACCCAAACAAGAGCTGGTTGATTTCTGGCTGGCATTTTTAATGGAGTCCTGCCAGCCCTTTGTCTCCACAGAGAGCTGTCTGGTAAGGAAGCTGCGAATCCTGGTTGTTAAGCAGTGCCATTCTTGAACTCAGATTGTCCTCCTGAAACTGATGAGAGAGCTACTGATTTGGATCCCATTTGAATATGAGCAGATCTTAACTTGTGCTTTCTAGACTCAACTATGAACCAGCATTTGCTTTTTTTTTTTCTTTTAACTTCTCTCAAGTTTGCCCTGCAATTCTCTGAACACAACATGTTTACAAAAACACATGTAATGGGGTGATGGGGGAACATGAGAAAAATGTATGTGGTTGGAAAACAAGCTTGCAAAAAAATATATATATATATAAAATATAAAAGACGGTTGCCTGCAAAAATGCCACAAATGTTACATATGGAAAATGCATACACATATTCACATAGAGATTTGTGTTGCTAAAAACAATAAAAATAACAATTGCAGGCAGATCTTTCACAACCCTTCTTTCGAGATCCTTTTTAACCAGAGATACCTCGGATTTAACCTGAGACTCTTTGCAGATGATGCAAAGCTTTACCCAGCTTGACTTCAGATATTAGGAAATTTCCACTTCCTTTGCTGTTTCGTGTTCCCTCCCTCAAGCTGAACTGAATTTGGGGCAAGCTTTGCAGAACAGGCTTGACTGAAAGGAGATGGCATTTGCGGAGTGCAAGAGCAAAGTGGGACGCGATGTTCTCCCAGAAGCCTCTCTTTATGTCGATTCCTAGTTCTCTCTTTTAGGTCAGGGCTGAGTAAGCCAGGGCCCTCTGCATGATGTCAGATTACAGCATGCATCACCCCAGAGCACTGGCCTGCTGGCTGGGGCTGATGGTAGTTGCAGTCCAACATCATCTGGAGGACCACAGGTTCGTTACTCCTGAAATAAGTTATAGTCCAGGTAACTGCCTCTCGCTGCAATTCATCTCTTGTTCTCTTTGCTTCCTGTGTTCCTCCCCTTTCTCTTGTCCCAGTGTATGTTGTAGAAACCTGGACTGGAAGTTCCTTGGGGCGGGGACCTCTGCTTTCTCTCTCCTTCCCTTTGCTTCTGCTTGTAGCGATAGTTCAGGTAATTATCTTTCTTTACAATCCATCGCTTGTTAGCTTTGCTTCCCTCATATTCCCCTCTTTTTGTCACTCACCACCTCTTGTAGAAATGGGGACTGTAAGTTCCTTTGGGAAGGGCCCCTCCAGTTTTTTTTCCTTCAGAATACCCTAAAATATAATGCATGGAGGTGGCTTTATAGAGGCAGCAATCCTCAGGCAGTGCCAGTGCAACCCTCACCCCAGTTGTGTTACCACTTGGCCATGCTGTCTCTGTGGAGCCCGGCTGAGGTGTGCCTGGGACCCTTCTTGTCCTCCAGTCCCATAACCAAATAAATGTGTGAAGCCCCCAAGCAGGGTGTGAAGTCAGAATAATGCATTTGTGGTGTTTCTTCCCTTTCTGTAACTGGAATCTAGGGATATACTGTTCTTGTACCTGGAGGTTTCACATAGTCCGCCTAGCTTTCGAGCAATTCATTTAATCTTCCCTTTTTAAACCATCAGAGTTGATGGCTGCTATTTTTCTTGACAGGTTTTGATTCTCGACCTGAGCAAGGTGCTGCAACCGTCTCAGCTCACTGTTTGTAACCAGGAGATCAAAAAATCAGTGACGCTAAGCCACATCGGTTCCCTGGAGGAGGTATTTTCAGATATTTGTCCCACTTCAGTTTCCTTTTCTGCTTGTTCCCTGATACAGGTAGTCCTTGCTTAACAACTGCCCTGTTTAGTGACCATTCAAAGTTACAGTGGTGCTGAAAAAGTAACTTAACAACCGGTCTTTGTACTTATGACCGTTGCAGCATCCCCACAGTCATGTGATCAAGATTCAGGCGCTTTGCAACTGGCAGGTGTTTATGGCCATGACAGCATCCTGCAGTCACATGATCACCATTTGCATGCTTCACAGCCAGCTTCCAACAAGCAGAGTCAATGGAGAAGCTGGCAGTAAAATCGCAAATGTCTCGCTTAATGATCATGGGTGATTTGCTTAACGACCACAGCAGAAATGAGGTTGTAAGTCCAGTGAGGTCATGTGATTTTTTGCTTAGCAACTGCATCGCTTAGCGATGGAGTTGCTGTTCTCAATTGTGCTTATTAAGCGAGGACGATCTGTGCTCCCAATTTTCAGTGATTGGAGTTTTGTTTCTGGAGTTATTTGCTTAGTGGGTCTTTCTCTCGGCTTCTGTAGGAAGGAATTTCCACCTGGACCTTTCAAGCATCCTCTATCCGTGGAATCAGGTGATGATCATTTCTGCCATTTTTAGAGAGCACATTTTAAATGCTGGGCTTCTGCTTAACTCAAGAAACTGCAATCCAGCAGATTCCTGCATTGTGCTTACTGTGCACGTGTCACACTTAAAACCACACATTACAAAATGAATGGTGATATTCCCACAATTGCTAAGCTTGGTTAGGGCCCACCTGGATCAGATTTTTGTGACTTTTCATATTCTGGGAACTCAACCCATTTGGTTAAGTTATGGTTCACTGTATTCCATGAATCCAGAAAATTGTTTAATTCAGCAATCAGGTGTAGTGTGTTGTGTGAATGGAGTTAACGCCTGTCTAACCCAGTATTGTCTGTGCTTTTGGCACCAGCGAATGCATTTGAATGTTTGAGAATGTATCTTGGAAACAATGGTAACGACAAACAGTGCGGTCAGTTACAAAACCTTTGTGGAAGATGATTTCCTTACCTTCCTCTGGAAATCAGAGGCACTCCTGGAAATGAAGTTGCTGTTAGAAGCAGGTGCTTTGCTATGCACCACGCTACGTTTTATTTTCTCTTCCTGATTTTTATTTAAAATGGTGTTTCTCAACCTCAGCCATTTTAAGATGCGTGGGCTTCAGCTCCCAGAATTCTGGTTGGCTAGGGAATTCTGGGAGTTGAAGTCCACCCCTCTTAAAGTTGACAAAGTTGAAAAACACTGGTCTGAAGCATCACAAGAAGAAGAATCAGGTGGAACAGAAAGCCCTAGGGCAATGTTGTCCAAACTTGGCCACTTTAAGATGAGTGGACTTCAGCTCCCAGAATTGGTGGCTGGGGTGGCTGGGGAATTCTGGGAGTTGAAGTCCACTCATCTTAAAGTGGCCAAGTTTGGACAACACTGCCCTAGGGATTCAGAGGATGTGTTGTCAGAACTCACAGGTGCCATGTTGGCAATTCTGAATTCACGCAACTAGCAATAGCTGTCTGGATCCTTACCTAGGGGACCTTTCCCATCACTTGCCCACCCACCCCAGCCCTCAGCCAGGCCTTTTAACTGGGACTTCCTACTTGTAAAGCCACCTTCAGGCATGCAGTCGTGACCCTCCCTTTGCAGCTAATGCCCGATTCTTCATCCAAAGTCAACTGATTCAGCAAAAAGAGGCTCCATTTTCCAGGCCTGATTTCAAGTGCTAAACACAAATCACAGCAATCCCAGAATGGGCAATGGTCTGGCGGCTGAAGGCTGCAATTAGCATCCGGAAGAGCTGTAGCAGGCATAGGTAAAGAGGAGGGGGACTGAAGTTTTTCCTGTTTTTTTGTTTTTTTAGGAGCAGCCTTCTCTTTCTTTCAAAAGTTGCATGAAGCATCTTTTCAGGCTTGTGTTAGGCTTGCCAGCTGTTGTGGCCCATCTCAGAATGGGAGCAAACCATGTCCTCAATTTTCAACCATCACAGTCAGAGAAGCTTCCTGAGGGGGCTGCAGTTTGCCCACCACTCTGTTATAAACTGCTGCTTTGCTCTGCAGAATGTCAGCTTTTTGAGCTGAATTTATTATATATTTTTTTTTTTTGAGCTGAATTTTTTGAACTGAATTTTTGAGCTGAATTTATTATATGTCAAGGATTTTAGGGGGAAAGAAATACACCCAAGAAGAGCAGATACAGAGGGGGCTTGGTCCATCTTGTTCCATACTGTGTCTTATAGCAGGGTTCCTCAACCTTGGCAACTTTAAGACAGGTGGACTTCAACTCCCAGAATTCCCCAGCCAGCAAGGGTGGCTGGGGAATTCTGGGAGTTGGTGTCCACCCGTCTTAAAGTTGCCAAAGTTGAGGAACCCTGTCTTATAGGGATTATTCAGAGTTTCAAGTCCAGATTTCCTCCATTGCTTTGGAATCTTTTTAAGCTCAAATGAAGTGGGACTGTCTGTAAATAAAGGGGAGACTTGTCACCTAGCTGTCATCCTCCCCTTCCTTTCCTGTTTTTTGCAACTGGCTCACTCATCTGTCTTGCAAAGCAAAGTGACCTCTCCTCCTTTTTAAACCTTCCTGTGAGTCCCCTAAGCTTAATTCTAACAGGCTGTCCAAGTTGTGTTCAGGCTGTAAGAGGCGTTCACATCCCAATGCTTTTTAAACTGGCATCATTAAAGAACGATAAGAAAACACGTTCATGCAAAGTAAATCGAAAGCTCATACGACACTCCCTGCAGATAGAAAAATAGCATCTGATCAGGAAAGTTTTGAGGCTAGCATAGACAATAAGGGGTGAAGGGATCTGGAAACCATCAGTCAAATTTCTGGATTTTTATTGGGGAGAAGAGGGGATGGATCTTTCTGCCATACTGAAGTTCTTCCCCTGCAAAGCTAGCCTTCTTCTCCCTGAAGGGCCTGTTTTCTATGTGCCAGGTTGAATTCTTTTCTTCTCTCCTTCTTTGTCTTTTGCATCAGTATTTCCAAGTGTGACGAACGATGCTGTTTCCTGTATGTGCGGCATACAGTTGAAGATTTCCAGCTATACTTCCCGACCCAAAATCACTGCCGCTGGTGAGTTATGGGGGGCTAATGGAAGCCAGGACGCCAAGAAAGCGAAGGTCCAGTTCTCTCCAATATGAGCAGGACCAGCACCCACTGGGTGATCTGCTTCACAAGCAACAGTTTCAAGAGGGTTGCATCATTTTGTAAAGTCACAGAAATGGTCACCGTGAAAATATACCTATCTTTTTTATTTGCCTCCTGCTCCCTCCCTGACGCATGTTTTGTAAAGGAAAGACACGGTGGTGAGCGCATTGGGAGGAAGAACTGTGTTTCTGCTTCAGAAGCTACGGTTTGACTAGCTATTTATCATGAGTGTAACATCAAATCCTGATAGGAGAAGTGGCTAGGAATTGCAAAGTTCAAAGACCTAATTGAGGAAGGGAGATACCGGTAGCCCGGATGTGAATAAGGTACCACCCAACGGTATTTTGGCATCGAATTGCCACTGTTTTGATTATTTCAGTGTGGGCCTTAAAAGTATGGGAGCTAGCTTCAGGGTTGCTGTGGGGCTTGAAAATGGGTGGGTGAAGACATTTTTAAAAAGCAGAGACAATAAACGGAAAGAAAATCAGATTCTCCATTAGTTTCCCATTGATTCCCAATGGGATTGTAATTTTAAAGCAGTGTTTTTCAAACTTGGCAACTTGAAGATATGTGGACTTCAACTTCCAGAATTCCCCAGCCAGCCTTGAAAAACACTGTCTTAAAGAAGGATTGCACTTTTGCATTTTTTTTAAAGTTTTGACAGGAAAAAAAATCCTGTCCAATATAGGAAATTCTCCCAGATGGAACACAAGCTTCTTGGAGTTGTCTTGGTAATGAGTTAGCGAAAGATATGAGTGAATGTATTTATTGCGTGCATTTCCTACACTAGTCTGCAGCCTCCTTGGCTTCCTCTGCTTCTATTAAATACTACTGGAAAATATGAGAAAACTCCAGATGGTCGAATAGATGACCATCAAATATAGAATGCTGTTCAGGATGCTAATGACATTAAAAAAAAAAAGATATGGGTGGTGGCTTTATGCAGGTTGGACACCAGATTACCTGCCAGTGCTTAAATCTAGCAGTGGTTTGGAGACCAATGGAAATTATAGTCCAAGGTATCTGGAGGAGCACAGGTTCCATCTTCCTATTCTAAGGCAGCCTTCCCCAACCTGTGTCCCTGTTAATGGGTGGGCTACAACATCCAGCAGTTTTAACCACTGTAAGCCATAAAGTCGCTGATAGAGGACAATGACAGCTGTTGCCCAGCACCTCTGGAGAAGTTGGGATGGGCTTCTCTAAGTTTCTCAGACACTTAGATTGCTTTAAAACTGTATCAGTCATTAAGAAGGTGTTTTCATAAGCTGGTACTGTTCCCCGAGGTTTTCCTTTCTCTTACGCTTTTATCTAGGTTTTGTGACCTGGTCCATTCTTTCATGGCAGAGATGGGTGAAGAAGGGAATTGGTGCAGTTCTCCAGTGGAGCTAGAGGTGAGTTGGGGGGAAAGGCACTGTGAATCAGGCCTTAGTTTTCTGAGGAAGCATTTCACAATGAGTGAAGAAGGGAACAAACAACAAATCTAGCCAGCAGCAGCGGTGACTAGTATAAAAATAGCCACCATGCAGACGTCCTGTTTAGTGCTGGGCTGAAATTTTTTCTACATCTTTCCCCCAACCATTTGCATTATAGCAGAAAAGAAATTGCTTTCAATGTCTTTCTCAAATGGGGAAAACTGGAGAAATTCTCCCAGATGGAACGCAAGCTTCTTGTACTTGTCTTGGCAATGAGTTAGCTAAAGCTATGAGTGAATGTATTTATTGTGTACATTTCCTACGCTGGCCTGCAACCTCCTTGGCTTCTTCTGCTTCCATTAAATACTACTGGAAAATATGAGAAAACTCCAGCTGGGCAGAGTTTTCCAAACAGGAAAAGGGATAAAAAGAGGTAGTGTAGGAAAAACATAGCAGCACCAGGTTGCTTACTCATCTTGCAACAATCTCAAGAACATCACCAAAAGAAATCCTGAAGAAATCCCAAACAGTGCGGTTTTTCAAGAGTATGGAACAGCATACTTTTTAAATAAAAAGTGAAGGAGAGAATGAATACTGAAAGAAAACCTGTTCCAATCATACCTATTTTCCCTTAAATGTAATATTTCAGTTATACATTTCATGGGATACATGACCTTGCATATTTAATCAGTGCCTAGAGTAAGATTGGTTAAAGTCTTTAGCTGCGCTTATTTCAATATTTGGTCTTGGTTGTAGAGGGTGCTGAAAATCCACTTTTCACAAAGCCATTTTGAAGGAAAAGCAGGGTGGAACTTCAGTGCCTTTCAAAGTGTTTGTGTAATAACTTCAAATTATTTGCAAACAGAATATTTAAGAAACAGTGGTTCTAAAGCAGTGTTGTCCAAACTTGGCTATTTTAAGATGAGTGGACTTCAACTCCCAGAATTCCCCATGCTGGCTGGGGAATT